TTTTCCATATACAGGTCTACCTATAATAAAAGACCAGTTTGGAAACTGGGTTTTCCATAATTTTTGTCTCTAATTGGAATAATAAAGATAACAGACCATTATTGATATGGGTCCACAGAAAAGTGGTACTTAATAGGTGGTGATCGTAAATTGGAGGTGTATTTAATGAGAAGGAGACATGTATTGATATTATAAATTTTATGACCATCCTGGTACTGCTTGCAAAATAGTATATTTATAATAGGAACGAAAAAAAATAAACTCATAACAAAGTCTATTTGGACGAAAGGCTTTCGATCCATCTGATCCTCGTCGGCGTCAACTAAATTCGGTTTATTTTGGTAATATTCCGATTTTCATTTATATTAACAGTACCTTTGCAGCGCAGGTTGGAATAAAAAAAAAATTAGAATTCCAAAGTTTAAACCTGACGTAGTTGCATGCTTCTTCGGGAGTTCAAGTATAACCCAACGTTAGATTTATGTAATTTATTATATTGTTATTCTTAATTTTAATTATGTGCAATTCTATATCTGTTCGATATTGGCTTTATTTATATAATCGTATTTTTATGTCAATTTTTAAATTGAAATTTAAATATTAATGTTTTATATGTAGGCTATTTTTTAATGTGCAATTTTAGACCCAATTGGTAATGGGCTGGACTCTGATCTAATATTTACTTTCTTGTTCACAAATCAGTTTGTATCTTGTATTTGTGTGTCGAACATCAAATAAATTCATTCAATCAATCAGTCATACAATCACGTCACTATAGTTAATTAAGACACCTTCTATACAAATAAATCGATAATAGCAATAAATCAACATGACATGCGTTGACAGTTACTGGTGTAAGGTGGTGAATCAGATATTTAAGGGTAATGAACATTATATTATTTTTTCACCATTGTCTAAGTTAGCAAAGTATATAAGTTGAAACATTGTAGTTCACTTAAAAAATTGGATTTATACGAAATGATTTATTAGCATGCTGCAGTGCAAGTATTACAGCAGGCACTAGCACCACCAAATTCTACCGATTGAAGAGAGCACGTATTTTTCAGAGTCTTAGATACTGTATATATATTATAAAAAGTCACGAGTGAGTGTATTACATATCACTCATGCCTTTTAAAATCATTTATTTGGTACTAGTGCTTGTCTTTTCTTTATCATAACCAACTTGTAGGCCTATTGGATTGACTCTTTAACATGAAATTGCTAATATTTAAAGAATTATTAGTTTTCCGTGTGCAATTTTGGAATATTTCCATACTACCAAAATATTACTAAAAATTACTGTATATCGCAATAAATACGAGTCTATCTGTGATCTACAAAAAAGTATTTGTAACAAGAGCAAGAATATCTCCATATCGACACAAACATTTAAAGAGTCTAAAAGATTGTTATGTTTTGTATTATAGTAGGAATGTTTATTTTCAGTGATTAAGAGAGGGACTAAGTGTTTCAATTTATATGTTTATGTATTTTATGTTTTGGTGCTATAAGTAATGTAACCATAATTGCATTGTATTTCACTTACACCTTCATTGTAGTCAACTGCTTTATTATTCCAGTTATTTACTAGTTTCGACTTACTGGATTTAGAAAATTAGTTAAAGACATGTTTTGTCTAAAGAAAACGGGCTAATTTTTCTGTGTGCAATCAAAATTGCTACTATTACTTTAGTCAATAATAAAGTAATATAATTTCTGATATTTGTCAACAGCAGTCCCTCAAAGTCAGCCCTAATTGTGTAGCGGTCGTATGCGATCAATAAGGACAAGACCAGGATATGCCAGTCGGCGGTCTGATGTTCCCAACAGATACCGTAACCGATCTCCCCAACGAGAGCGTAAGGCGTGGCCGGGCATCGCTCAAAATGTTACCCAAGTGATGCAGAAAGCTAGCTAAACCGCTAGAAACTGCGATCATTTAGAGTCATTTAATCAGTTTCAAATGTTACTATTATGTAAAAGATAAATTTAATTTTCTCTCCTACGAATTATTATTTATTTTAATCCCCGACGGGGTGACTAGCTCTCCCGGACGGGGCCCTGTCTGCTGCCACCGCTGGCCCCCTTGTAGCTAGCTTTGGACTGTTACTCATTTTCAATGTATATAAGTATATAACAATTTATTTAACCCGCTGATTTTACTGTTTAGACAAGCCTTAAAGTATCCAATAGTTAGTCACTAGAATTTGGTGTATATGTTAGGAGATAGCCCATGGAAAAATACCTTGATTTTGTAAAAGCTTGCGAAACATTCGAGTGCAATGGGTTTGGAATTAGATATCTTGTTGACATAGTTAAGATAATAGTCTTAAAATCCCAAAATTCTGGATTCAGTTTCTGCCATTTTTGTTGGATATTTTTCACGACCAAAAAAGAAAAAAAAATCCACTCCCTTAGCAATGCCACAACACGGCTTTATTCACTACGACCTGGCAAACACGGAGTTTTTCTCTGTTAAAATCACCGAATCAGCTCGATTCTACTTTTTCGGCCTAACAGTGTCAAATTGTATGGCAGCTCATACCCCATAACGCCAATTTCATAAACTCACCACCCTAACTGGCATCAGACATTCAGAGCATCAAGTTTCGGGATATGGGTTTTCATCTGATAATGAGGGCTCTATATCAAATATGCACACTCTGTACAGGGAGGTATAAAAATACTCCGCTCCCTGCTCTGTGCTCATGTCGATCCTCAGCGAAGATCACTTACTGACTAACTCGCCAAAATGTTGATAAACAAAAATCATTGTAAAATTCAGACTCGGATACAACAACCACAAACTCTCCATCCGCAATCACAAGGGTTTCCCTGCAGCCGACAACTCCCTGGCCATTCTATGAAATGCGCTGTACTCTTATTGCCAGCAATTCCTCACCACTTAGGTCGTGTTTCCGCAGCACTTACTACCCGATATATTAACGGAAATCAGTCATTTTTTATTTTTCGTTTCGGAAACGGGGCGCAAAGTTTCCTAATAATGTTTAGATGTGTATAAGAGGGTAACTCATATCTGTTTGTGATATAGAAAAGGACATTATTATTTTTATTTACTTATTTGTGTATTTATCTATTTTATTAAATTCATTTATCACATTCGTGTATTTTTATCATGATTTGTGTAGTTAATTTATATCCTATCTTCTGGATGTAGCTATGCTACGCTCACTTTTATTATGCTTTTTAACAGCACGGATTTATTTTGACCATTATATTTATTTAACTCACCACAGACACATTTATACTTACATTATATTACATATTTTATACTTGCGTCCTTAATTGTGGCCCAAATGTTATGCTATGTTTTAACATTTTCTGTTTTCATTCTGAATTTTGGTCATTATGCTATTTGTTTATTATACAGTCGGCATACTGTGGGAGCGACTATTAGGCCTAGTATATTATTAATCTCCGTTCGTATTGAAAATTGCCTATTATGTGTATACTGTATAATATATATATCCGATTTATCAGTATCTATCTTGCATTGTTTAATCGACTTTTGCAATATTTAATTACTCCATTTTGAGTACGCATCGTTTACAAATGAACTACTACAGTGATTATGTGTGTCCACGTTCTGCAAGTCTAGTTAAAGTGCCTTTGATTAAGACCTAAGGATAGGTCGAAATATTTGTTTTCTTTAATAAAGCGTTTCTAAAATCTGGTATTCGTTTCCTATATTATTGTATTATCGTACTGAAACACACACACATATATATATATATATATAATAATAATAATATAAGCAAAAAACGAAAATGAAACAATTGCATACGTTCACATACTATAGACATAAAATTTATTCAAGACTAATATTTCAAACACAACTGTGTCCTTCTGCGTTACACGTATGACTGAAAAATACGGAGCAGATCAAATAAAAACTGTAAGAAATAATGCAAGATAAATCCTAAGATAATAGGCACGCAATTAGTAACTAAGAAGTGTGTCACACAGCCTTCTAACAATGTTACTATATAGCATATGGGTTTCCCAATGATATATAATTTTGCCATACGCTGGAATAGTAATTACCACAATGCCAATTACTGTTAATGGTAAGTATTTATGACTAATTATTTACTTCACATTATCTCTGAAAGCTCATGATGATAACAATATTACTTCATATAGTTACAGTAATTTTATCAATTTTAACTACCACTTTAAATCATTATATATTATTTTAACATTCCAAAAAGTAACGTAATATATAATAAAATTATGATTACAAGATTATAGTAAGTGAATAATTATATAAATCGGAAAAATAACTATAAGCAAAATTATATAACGTTCAACTATCCGCTTTCAGACACCCTGCCAAAGAACGATCAAAGTTTTCCCCCACCGTTCACTTTTATATTCCATTCACAGGATCTTCCTGGCTCTGTTGTATTTATTAGTTTTCAAGCCAATTCTGCATTAAAGTAGCCTTCAGTTCATCTAAAAACTCATACTATCATTCTGTTATCCGAACTTATTAGCTCCTTAAAATTCATTAACTCTAAACTACTGTACAACTACCTGAATAATGTTCAGAATAAACCAAAGTTCCTCCCTGCTATCCGAGCTTATTAGCTCCATGCAATTCATTATTTCAGAATTAAGCTGCCTTGAGTAACGTTCACTTTAATTCAGGGTTGATTTCTTCCTGGTTTCCGAGCCACAATAAATATAACTAGCAGGTATCTTGGAAAAAAGTTTTCCATCCAAATAACACAATAATGATTACATCACAACCGTTTACTGGATGTTCATTGGCATACGTTCAGGTCTACAGTTTCTCCATTATAAAATAACAGGCAAACAAATTGTTCTTATCTCACCCGCAATCTCTATATAACAGCTTAGATCTATCCATAGGGGGATATATATCTGTCTCTTATACACATCTAGATGTGTATAAGAGACAGCTTGCGAAACATTCGAGTGCAATGGGTTTGGAATTAGATAATATATGAACTATAAGCATATATTATATGTGTGGGCGTATAATATATAGACATATATTTTACACATTACTGAAATATTTTGTATAAAACAATTATAGTGTTTTAAAAACAAGACGTTCAAAATTAAATGTGAAACCCTATAAAACGTTATAAGTATTATTAAAATTAATTCCATCAAAGCTCCTGTATTTCTCAAACACTTCTGGAATCATCACTTGTGGCTTACATGATAAGCACAAGCTGCTCCGCATTTAGAAACATTTAACCTTGCTAAAATGGCATCTGAGCTCCTTTCAAAGTAACACAACATCATTCTGTAGATAGCGCCTTCTGCAGCAACACCTTTGTGGTGATACCTCCTAGAATATCAAGCTGAGAGACAACCACATTCAGCTCTTTACTGGCCCATGTGACCATTTCTACTGCCATCATAGAGTCAACTCCGTAGTTAATCATTGGTTGGTTAATGTCAATATTATCGGGTTCTACGAACAGCAATTTGCCAAGCTTTTCTTTTACAGTCTTCTCGACATCTTCAAGGCACAATGAGCAATCGGTCTTTCCGACATTATCACCTTCCACAAAGTGTCTGTATTTGCAGCTGTCGTTATAAGTAAACTTCTGAGTATCAGTCCAGTTCTGTAATGAAAAGGTAGTCTATTGTGTAAATGTTATAATTCTTGGTAATTGCTATTCGCAATTAGGGGATTAGAAACTTAGTAATATGCAACCAGTTACTTTACAATTTAAGATGAGAAAATATAATATATATAGCCGTCCTTATATGTAAACTGTTGGCTGTTAGTCTAGTTCTGCAATGAATAAATTATGGTGACGGTCCAGAGTAGGATGTGCATGTGAGGACCATTTAAAATGATTTAAAAGAGCAAACATCCTAGACAAAATATCTCAAAAGCTAATCAACCGATATGAATGAAACTTTCGTGAAAGTTTAACCAAGGGCTTATAACTGTTACCAGAATAGGAAGCTGGCTGGTTTAAGCCGTCTAACTTGAATTAGCTTTATGTGCGGTACTATGCTATTGAGCCAGTTAAGCACAATCTGCACATGCTCAGAAAAACAAAACTTTCCTTAGCCACTGCGGCCCGCACTGCGTATCGGCTTGGCGTACAGCTAGGTCTAGTCGAGAATTACGGTACGTGGTAAAACAAAGCAAAATAGGGTACTAATTTCACTTGGCATGCAAATCAATCATAATTACACACTTAAAAACAAACTAATCTACCAATAAAATCTCCTGCTATTTAAGATATAAGGCAAGTATGTTCACAAATTTGATTTTAAATTGATTTTGTTTTGTAGTATTACAATGAACATCACATAGGCTAGCCTAGGCCATGTCTAACCGCTTATAAAAATGCAGAAAAAAGACCCAAAACAAATTAGAATGAAGTTATCAACTAACTGTGCATTAAAATTATTCATATACTTACTACTTACTTATATAAAATTAAAATGTATTGCTCACAAACGCCAATTTTTTATTTTAATACGCCTTTTCTTTGTTTACCGTACCGTAATCCTTGGCAGGCCTAGATACGCAGTGCGGGCCGCAGTGTGGCAAAGAAAAGTTTTGTTTTTCTGAGCATGTGCAGATTGTGCTTATCTGGCTCATTAGCATAACAATACCGCACATAAGGCTAATTCAAGTTAGATGGCTTAAACCAGCCAGCTTCCTATCCTGGTAACAGTTATAAGTCCTTGGTTTAACCAAGTTAAAAAGAAGAAATTATTAAGCGTTGGTCACGATCCAAATTCGGGGGTGAACTTGAGGCTCATTTAAATTTGTAAGGTATTTTTGTGTTCACAATATCTCAAATACAGCTGCACAGATCTTAAATGAAAGTTTGCAGGGATTGTTAGGCATGACCTACGGATGTAGGTGATTAAATTTTGGTGACCATCCGGAGTAGGGTGTGCATATGAGGGCCATTCAAAGGAAAACGTCCCAGACCAGATATTTCAAAAACTATTCAACTTATATGAATGACATTTTTGTGAAACTTTAACCAAGTTACAAGGAAGAAATTATGAAATGTTGGTAACGATGCAAATTCGGATGTGCACTTGAGGGTCATTTAAAATCGTTCCCAGTTCTAAATATTTAAAAAAAATAATTAATGTCTTTAAATGATACTAGCCAGAATAGTTGGGCATGTTTTGGTGAAGTTTTTTTTTTTTTTTTTTTTTTTTTTTTTTTTTTTTTTGGTGACGATCCGGTGTAGGGTGTGGATATGAAGACCATTTAAATGAATATGTCCAAGACCAGAGATTTTAAAAACTAATCAACTGATATGAATGAAAATTTCTTGAAAGCTTAACCAAGGTACAAGGAAGAAATTATAAAGTGTTGGTGACCATCCAAATTTAAGTGTACATTTGAGGGCCAAAAAAGTACTAGACTTAAATATGTTTAAAAATGGATCAATGGATAAAAATGACAATTGGCAGAATAGTTTGTCATGTTTTAATAAAGAATGTTTCAATTTTGGTCACGATCCGTCGTAGGGTGTGGATATGAGGACCATTTAAAAATAACTTTACCGTATTAACCTAAGCAGAAACAATAGCTATATGATAAATATTTGAATAAGTGCAAGTACAGTATAGGTGTATAGCGTTTTATATTTCTTAACTTCACTTTTTTCGGAACTTATTTCGAATATGTTTAATACATCTATACAATTAAAGAATGTGACCAAAAACCAAATCCCCATATTTCTATTTCCATAATATTTCCATTTCAACACCAATACGTTGCATGCATTTTGTTTGTCAGCTACAGTATAAGAGTAAAGCGTGCCAGTACAGTAAGCCAGAATAGCTAAGGAATTCGGTGTACAACTGATACAATAAGGGTGGTTTGAAAAAAAAATGAAGTGATTAAATGAACTTATTATTATTAGATATTATTATTATTAGCGACAAATTAATTATATTATCATTATTGGCTCAGATGGGAAGCTCTAAAACATTGACTCGGCGCCTGTTTTGAACGGCGGACGTGCAGGAAATTTTATAAACATAAACTAGAGGTGATTTCCAACAAACGTTCATGGCCCATTTTAAGTTGCGCCACAGTGTGCTCCATACACTCAACAGAAATCGGGGGTTTTAGTAAGGACTGCACATTACTGCCATTAAAGGTAAAGGGTAAAGGTAGGAGAATAACCTATAACTTGCAGCGTCATTGTGCTGAATTGCGTATGGGCGTGGTCCTTGACTACCTAGCAGCCGTATCTTGGTAGATACATGTTCACATCATTCCACAACGACAGGGGCTGAAATGAACCATAACATCGAGGTAACCCCCTACTCTTCCGAAAGATGCAATGGGCTTTAAAGTACAGATGTATACACTGGACATCCATTTTAAGTCCTTATCCGAGAAAAGACTTGGTTCTACCAACCGAACCATGGGCGAGGAGTGGTTGGAACCAGCGCCGATGTTAAGGCTGTAGCTAGAAGCGCCCCTGCCTTACCACTCGACTCGCCACACATTACCACTATGAAACACCTCTTATTGATGGCCCGGTCGGTTTAACCACCATTCGTGCGACGGTTTCGTGTGATGGTTCTAATGAACCATAGGGGCTGAGTTGGAATCGCCTCTTTGTATTTAATTTTTTTTTTTCAATTTACATTTTTTTTCAATTTTAAAACATTTTAATTTTGTACAAGTGAAAATTCAAGTTATTTAAATATTTCTATATTATTAGCTCTTCGATTTCTTTTTTGTCAAATAGCTATAAAATATTTTAGAATGTTAATTTATAAAATAATAAATAAAAATAAACATAAACACTGAGGCCAATTCGAACTCACGACCTTCAGTTCCTCACAACACAGCATTAACCGACCGTGCCATTTATATGACGTGTCTTATCAATGGTAGTAATTAAAGTCAATTATGAACCCGTGCCGAAAAACTATGATAACTTGCGCCACTCTGTACAGTATTTAATCATGGAGGATATTTCCTCCATGCATGTTTTAATAGTGTCTACAAAAAGTCTCGTCTGAAAGGTGCATACCCGAGGCATTAAACGCTGATAGATTAATTGATTAATACATCTTTCAGCACATAAAAACCATGTATTATGCGCTATGTAAGTCTTCTCCAACCATTACCATTACCATTTTTGTATATGCGGCCGTTATTGTCAATATACTCTAATACTGCCTGTATTATAATGCCCTCATCGGAGCTTTCGAGATTACGAGAACTTGTTTTAAAGTAGATTGTTGCTGGTGGTTGGAAAGTAGGAACATTATTATTATTATTATTGACTTTCCCCAGCAGTACTGGGAAAAACAATTGTTCTTTTTTTCTTGCATATTTTACCTATCGTTTTGCACTGGTTTTTTTTGGCCGTCACTTTGGTCAGTTCCCATGCTTAGAATTTTTCGAAGCATAGGCTATATATCATGAATGTGCCTCCTAATATTTAGTGTAAATCTATGGTGAGGTGTGCGTGTGAGGACCAATTAAAGTGATGTAAGGTCAAACAGTCTACACCGGATATTTCAAATACCGGTCAGTTGATGTGAATGAATCGTACGGGAAAGTTTCATCAAGTTACAAGGAAGAAACTTTTATGTGTTAGTGACGATCATCAAATGAAAAGTGTAAATTCGAGGGTATTTTAAATTTTTGAGGACCCGGACCTCTTTAATATCTCTTAAAAAAAAACCCAATGGGTCTAAATGAAACATTCTATAATATTTTGTGAAGGTGTTGTAAAAAAATGATTAAATTTTTGTGACGATTTTTTTGAGGACCCAGACCTAAATATTTCTGTAAAAAATCAATGGGTATAATTTAAACCTTTTATAACAGTTTGTCAAGGCCGAGTAAAGAAAAGATTAATTGTTTGTGATCCGGAGTAGGGTGTAGATCTGAGGACCATTGAAAGGAAAACGTCCCAGACCACCAGATATTTCAAAAACGGATCAACTGACCTCAATGAAACATTCAAAAATATTTTAACCAAGTTACAAAGAAGATAGTATTATGTCGGCGACGAATCAGTTAAGGGCGTAAATTGGAGGGTTATATAAGTTTTTGAGATCCCAGACGTAAATATCTATAAAAAGTAGGGTGTGATTATGAGGACCATTTAAAGGAAAACGTCCCAGACCAGATATTTCAAAAACGGGTCAACTGATCCGAATGAAACTTTCGGGAAATTTTAAACCAAGTTACAAGGAAGATATTATTATGTGTAGGGGACGATCCAGGTTAGGGTGTAAATTACTTACGTCCCAGTTACAGATAGATAAATATGACACTTTGAAGAATAGCTTTTCATGATGAAATGAAGAAATGATCCAATCTGTGGATCAAAGGATACGATACAGATACAGATTAATTTTATTGTCTGTATGGATATGAGGACCATTTGAAGATTTTTTTGTTGAAAGTTGAATAAATTATTTAAACGCAATTTGCATTTTCTAAAGCGCTTAAACCGGTTACAGCTAGGTTAAACTCAAAACTACCGTGATATGCATGAACAATTTTTGCTTTCAGTCATTGAATCGCTATGAACTGAAAATGCACTTTCCTATGCAAGGTCGGCTCATGGCGCGCAATGGTAATGAGTCATAATGTACCTCGCTATTACCATTGCAGCCATGATAGTTCAAGTCTCACTAATAACGCCGAAATTTTTCGGTTTTTTTTCACTTTATTTTTTTCCACTTCATTTAAATTATATTGGTTTTACGTGTTTTTTTTATTTTATACCTTTTAACGACTTTTCTTTTTGTTTCAATTTCAACTTCATTTCTCATTAAAGCAATCGGGAAAAGCCCTATGTTTTGTTGTTCAAACAGACATAATAAGTCTAGTTATTATTATTATTATTATTACTATTATTATCTTTTTTTCTTTTTTTATTGGTTAGTGTACGTTTTTTGTTGATTTTAATATTTATATTTTTTAACGTGCTTGTTTCAATTTCAACTTCATTAAAGCAATCGGGAAAAGCCCTATGTTTTGTTTTTCAAACAGACATAATAAGTCTAGTTATTATTATTATTATTATTATTATTATTATTACTATTGTTATCTTTTTTTCTTTTTTTATTGGTTAGTGTACGTTGTTTGTTGATTTTAATATTTAAATTTTTTAACGTGCCATGATAATTTGGAAGGTGCAATAACAGTAAGAACAATTACTCACTGCTCTTTCGGAGGACTTGTGCTTTATCATTTACCATATTATTAACATATAGATGTCCATACCTGATTCGCAAGACATACAACGGCTGGTACGTCCGATGATTGTAGGAGTGTTGACAACGTATTCAAAAACTCTTCCACGTGAAGGGTGTTGTTCCCTTTACTAGCTAATGTGTTGGTAATTTCGGAATTACTCTCCAAGAAACCAGCCCCTCTAATGGGTCCAAGCTGGACACTCAGAGATGCCAGTCCTTGACGTCTCCTTAGCTCTGCAAGCGAATCCAGAAAGTTGTTCGCCGCGGCGTACATCGGTTGTGAAGAATGTCCCCATAAAGATGCCACGGAGGACAGCATGAAGAATACATCGAGATCTTGATCTTTGGTAAGAGAGTGTAAGTACTGAGCACTGATTGCTTTTGAGTAGAGAATCTTGTTTGTTTCAGAAGGATTAAGAGTTTGCAGAGATTCTGGAGCTATGTACCCTGCCAAGTGAAAAAATCCCTTGATGGATGGTGCTCTTTTGTATATTTGTTCCAGCATATGTTCAACATTCTTCTTCTTGCCGAGATCAATGGCAAATTCATAAATCGTGACACCTTTGTTTTTCATAAACTTCATTGCTCGCCGACCAGCGGAATTTTGACATCCGCGTCTGGAAACCATTACGACATGTCTCGCACCTTTTGTAGTAATCCATCGTGACATTGCAAGACCAATCCCACCAAATGCACCCGTTATCACGTAAGTGGCATTTTGTTCGAAAAGCACCGACGACCGGTTAATCTTCGCTTGCTGAAAATTATCTGGAATTGAGAAAACTATCTTTCCGATATGAGATCCCTTTGCAGCTGTCAGGAAGACATCATTGTACTCAGCAAGTGAATAGGCAGCATACTGGACGCGTTTAAGTATTCCTTTCTCAAGTAATGATGATACTTTCTGTAACAGTTTCTGTGCTTTGTCTTTTTGCAGATCGACCATGAAGTCTATTTGACATGATAGAAAAGATTTGTTTTCTAGTAATAACTGCATATCAAGGTTTGAGCTCTGAAGAATATCTCTTTTACCAATCTCACAGAACCTGCCACCAGGAGCAAGAGTTTTGACTCCCTTCGTAAGAAGCTCCCCATATAGTGAATTTAGCACAACGTCTACACCTCTATTGTTTGTCCATCTCATGACGTCAGCGTAGAATGCATCTGAACGTGAATCAGTTACATGTGCAATACCAAGTGTCTCCTTTAAGAATTTACGTTTATTCTTCGTTCCAGCAGTGCATATGATGTCTGCATCGACCATTCTTGCGACCTGTATGGCACTCAATCCTACACCACCACACGCAGAATGTATCAAGACTGTTTCTCCTTTCTGAAGATTGGCACGTTCAACAAGACTATGATATGATGTAGCAAAAACGATTGAAATACCTGCACTTTCATCCCATGACATAGTTGATGGTTTCTTAACGATAAGCTGAGCATCACAGATGCTATGTGAAGCAAAACAATGTTCACCGATCCCAATAACTTCATCACCTACACTGATTGTACTTACACCTTCCCCAACAGTCTCAACCACACCACTTAACTCTAAACCGAACGGTTTTCCATCGGTTTTTAACAAATCATCAAGCATTCCAAGTGCCATCATAACGTCTTTGAAATTCAAAGCTGCGCTCTTCACTTTAACAAGCACTTTACCAGGGGATGGAACCATTTCAGTTCTGTAAGAAATACCGAGATCGCTTATTGAAGAAAGGCCTGATTTTGAAGTTTGTGTTAATTGCCAATATGTCTGACCACTTATCGCCATTTTAGTTGTTGGGATGTAGGAAGCGAGCCTAGGATAGAAATACGACCCATTCCTTATGGCAACCTCCCTTTCATAAGATACTGGTGCTACCACGTAGGCTACAAGTAGTTGGACTTGTTTGGCTACTGGACTGTTTGGGTCGATATCCACTGAAAATACAGGGACATTGCTTTGGTTTGTCACTGCTCTTACAAGTCCAATTGATGGGCTGCATTCGATGTTTGTATACGTCATGTTTGATCCACATGTCACTACCCATAATTTTGAAATTCTTTTAGGATCACTGTCAATCATCTGTAGTACTTTCAACAGTGCATGGCATAGACGATCACTATCTCCCCACAAGTAAATCAGTTCGTACGGTAAATCTTGAGATTCTTCATCAAAATCTTCTGATTTCACATCAGCATACGATTTTACTATTACATCACATGTGAGACACTTCTTGATATCTTTAATCAATGGGCACTGTTCGTTTTCTACGACAAGCATGTAGATTCTGTCCTTTGTTTTTTGTTTAGGTTCATCGGATGTTAAGGTACAACGGCCAAGAAACACACTATGGAAAAACTCTCCTGGTGTTGATTCAGATACTACATCAGTGAAACCACTGTTTAATAGTGCCTGAACATATCCGTCTCTTGTCAACCAGCAGCAATATTTTCTATAGTCATCGTAAACCCAACAAAGGTCAAGCACTCCGAACACTAACTCAGTAATGTAATTAGTATTCGTTACCTCATACATTAAAAATAGCCCATCATCAACCAATAGATCTCTGACATTTTGAAGTGTTGAAATTATATCTACAACTGGATGGATTGCATCAAAACAGACGACTAAATCTATCGAGCAAGGTGTAAATCCTTGAGTTGATACATCAGCTTCAATGTCTAATTGCTTGTATTTCACAAATGAATACTCCTCAAGTGTACTTTGAGCGTGCATTAAATATGTGGCACTCAGATATGTAAATATATACTCAACTCGATTTTCTTCACCTAGTAATTTTAACGGCTCTAATATGTGTCTTGCAAGACCTCCCACACGACCTCCTAATTCCAATACGCGGACAACATGTTTTTGTTTACATGCATTCTTGATTATCTTTGAAATGGTGTCTGCTGCTGACTTATAATACAGCCTCGTGGTAAGTGATTCAATGAAATATTTTGGAAGGAATTCAGGTTGCAATAATATCTTAACTGCGCTTTCAGGATCTACTAAAGTCCTAGAGAGGTTATCGCCAATACTTCGTATCATTTCTATTTCCAGCTCAAACTCCGGTACGTAATCTTTGAGCTCGTTTAGCTGTACATGTATGGCTTCATATTTTATATCTAAAACTGATTGGTCAGCTGCAATTCTTTCTAAGCACTTGAGATAACGTGTGTTTAATTTAAATGTGCCTTTGTTACCATTTTCAAGACCATGACGCACGTAAGATGCGCATATGCCTTTTATAATAGCAACTTGCCCTTCAACTTTCCTGATACTCTCCAAATCTACTGAGTATCGGTCATTGTTTTTCATACATTGAAAAACCTCTTGCAAAACCGAAGTGCTGCCAAGGCATGATGTGGATGGTTGCCAATGTGTCTGATACAAGCACCTATCTATATCTATATTTGACTGGATTCCGTTAAGGGCTTGACATTTAACACCAGAAATCAATGCCAATATCTTTCCATTTTTCGTTGCCATAGTTATGTCACCAAGTAAAGTAACACTGTCACATTCAGTTACTTTCGCATAAGACACAATTTCTTCAAATGGTGGAATCTTTGGTGTGTACATTTCAAGGTGGCTAATAGCAACTGGAATAAAAAGAGTTGTAGTGTAGCCGATACTGTGTAAAAGTAGCTGAAATGCTCCGTCCAAGTGTGTTACTTGTATGCGCTGTTTGTTATCGTCTGCTGGGCAAAGATATCCAAGACACTCGCCGTCCCCAGCCATCACCCTGGTTACTACTTGAAACGATGGACCGTATTGGAGGCCAAGCGATTTAAGCTTTTCGTAGCACTTCTGCATAGATTGTTCATTTCTACATCTTTTTAGAATATCCTCAATATTCAAATGATTAGTCTTAATCTCGTTTGTGGATAATAATATACATGTGCTGTAAACTTGTTCTGCAGTTGTAACGGTAACACGGTTACCGTCTTTGGTACATTTCAGATTCAAATAAGCTTGCTCCATGCTGTCACTAACGTCTGGCCATGTGTACACTCGGTTGAAGTTAAAATTAGCAGCAACAGGCAGTTCATCTTCAAGGAAAAACGACTGTAGTGCATACTCTACGTAGCCTGCTGCTGGAAAAACAATTCGATCTTGAACTACGTGCTCTGCAAGAAATGGGAATAATTTAAAGTTCAAGGCACCGTTCTGACCTCTAAATGTACGGTCATTCTTGCCAAGTCTGTGATTTCGATGATCCGGATCCTCAACCCAAAGACTAGAATGTTGCCAGGGATATTTGGGGATATCTACCCATTGCGCAGCATCTCTTGTGACATTCTGCCAATTGATTTCCACACCATGTGTATACAATTGCCCTAGAGAATATAAAATAGAATTTCTATCATCCTGTTGCCTTTGACCAGACGGAACAGTGATGACGTAACTTTCTGATTCCGACCTTGCTATTTGCTTTATGGAAGAGAGGAGTGTTGCAGACGCGCTACATTCGATAAATACGTTGACTTCAATTTCTTTTAATATACTTTCAATAGCAGATTGAAATTTGACTCGGTTCCTGATGTTCTTCCACCAGTACTCTGTGTTAAAGTCACCATCGTACTGTGTTCCTGTCAATGTTGAATAGAATGGAATTGATCGTGAACCGGCAGGAGTGATTACAGCTCCTTCCATTGACTTTCTGAATGGTTTCTCTATGGGGTCCATGAGAGGTGTATGGAACGCACATTGGACGCGGAGCTGCTTTGCCTGTATTTCACTATTATTCACAATCCTTAAAATACTGTCTTTAGATCCGCCAATTGTCAATGACCTTGAAGCGTTAACTGCTGCAATATATACGTTTTCATTATACATACAAATATCTTCAGCTTCTCCCAATGACAATCGAACAGCAACCATGCTACCGACGCCCTTTAAAAGTGATTGATTCTTGCTTCGTTGATATATAACTTTAACTGCTTCTGTAAGTGTTAATCCGCCACATGCATACGATGCTGCTACTTCTCCAAGACTGTGTCCTACTACAACATCTGGTGACACACCCCAGTGTCGCCACAGTTCGTAGAGGGCGATTTGTAGGAATAAAATTGCTGGCTGACTGATTTCCATGTCGTTGATATTCTCATCGTCGAGTATAAACTCAGAGTTATAATTTCCATAGAACAAGTTACAATTATATACAAGGGAACTTCCACTCACTTGGCGGAATATCTCATCGCATTTCTCAATAGTGTCTCGGAACACAGGTTCCGTAGCATAAAGCGTCCTTCCCATGTTTGCCCATTGCTGCCCTTGTCCCGGGAATACAAAACATATTTTGCTTGATGATCTATAACTAGTTCCAATTGATAAACCTTCACCACTGCCATCTTGAATAAACTGTTCTAATCTGTTTCGGAACTCTGACCATGAACTTGCTATTAATGCAAGACGACAGTCGTGATGCGCTCGTTTGGTAGCCTGCCAGCCGACAACCCTCAGTGCGTCTTCGTTGCTCTCAAAACTTTTCCAACGCAATGCTGTATCTGTCAACGCAGCTGTAGACTTAGCGGATAAAGGTATGATGATTGATTCACCTTCACCGAAATTGCTATTGAAGCCCCAACCTGCCGGGTACTGCAAAACGTTTTGCTTTTGTGATGGAGGTGACTGTATGATAGCATGGGCTAAAGCTCCTGCAAAACCGAAGCTGTTTATACCAACAATAATATCTTTATCTTTAGGAAATGGTTTGATAGAGGTTTGAACATGAAGTTTCCATTCATCAAGATGTATATTTACATTTGGTGTTGTATAGTTAATGGTTGGAACTAAATATCCCTTTTGAAGCATAAGTGCCACTTTGATGGAAGATACAATACCAGATGCGTATTCACAATGACCAAAGTTGCTCTTAACGGATCCTATTCTAAGAGGATCACTTTTATGGGGCCCAAATGCATTTCCTATAGCTTCTGCCTCTATTGGATCTCCTACTGGTGTTCCAGTTCCATGGGCCTCAAGGTAATCAACATCAGCCATGTTGACATCAAATCGTCTGTAGGTTTCTTCCATTGTATGCTGTTGGGCAGGCGTAGATGGCATTGTCAGGCTGTTACTGTGACCATTAGCTGCTATGTATGTGCCGACAATTTGAGCATATATATGATCATTGTCCTTTATTGCGTCATGAAGAGGTTTCAAAATCATTGTTCCCCAGCCTTCACTTCTGACGTAGCCGTTTGCCGAATTAGAAAACGGACAGCATTTTCCATCTGGTGACAGAACGCCAAGTGAGCTAAATCCTATTGTTGTTTCTGGAATTATCAAAGCATTGGCTCCAGCAAGTACTGCCATGTCACATTCTTGGTTCCACATTGCAGAACATGCTAAATGCATAGCTGTCATTGATGAAGCACATGCAGTATCTACAGCGTAGCTAGGACCCTTCAGGTTGAACGCATAAGAAAGCCTGTTAGCAGCAACACAATGTGCTGAGCCAGTGAGGGTATATGCGTTAATAGTGGATATGTTCGATCCCATTATGGTATAGTCCACAAAGCCAATACCAACAAAAACTCCGCATGATGACTTTAATTTGGATGGTACATACCCAGCATCCTCGAAAGCTTCATGCGTAACCTCTAATAGTATTCTTTGCTGAGGGTCCATGGATGAAGCCTCCTTTGGTGAGATCTTGAAGAACGTATTGTCAAACTGGTCAATACCATTTATAAAACCGCTTCTTTTAGACACCATCTTTCCCTGTTTTCTTTGGTCCTTGTCGTGGAATGCGTCCAACGACCAACGATCAGCTGGTACTTCACTGATGCAGTCTATTCCATTTCGGAGAACATCCCAGAAGTCAGCTGTTGACGTCACACCACCTGGTAGTCTACAACCTAAAAGTAATAAATGTAGAAATGTATAGAGTAAACAATAGTTAAAATGGAAATGTTAGTATTATTTGAGGTGATGAAGAAATACAACAATTAGTACGAATAAATACCTTAAGCCGGGCAATCACTGCATACGACGGTCGTCTGCCGACGCGATACTGTGAAGAACGCAACGCGACGACACGCGCGCAACGTATCGTTTTTAATGACGATCCGTTCAGACTGCCACAGACAATCGACTAGCAGACTATGAATATCTAAGCTGTCCCAAGATTAAACCTCTTAAGTATAATTTTTTCCGTTCATACATCCAGCCCTTGGTTAGGTTATCTCTAAGCTTTTATGCAGATTTCACATGTATAATACCCAATTGCTTTTAAACCTGAATCTCTGAATAAAGCACTCGGAATTATTAAAGCATGTTTAGTTCCTTTGCTGCTTTGTCACGGATGGAAAAGAACATCGTGTGTTTTAACTCTAGTCCTGAAGCCCTTCAATCACGTTATTATTGTAACCTTATCCATCCAGTATTTCGTTTTAAATTTGGATTGAGACAAAGTTGCACCGCCTACGCTATAAAATGGATTTCTCTCATTTTGTTTTAATTCGGGTATCTCCTTCTCACTCTCAACATTCATACAAAAATAGGCTCCCAGCGGGAGCGTGCGTCTACTGCCTAATTCTATAGAAATGATGTGGAAATTGATTTATAATGATTTAATGGTTTAACATCATGAGAGTAAGTAGGGGTGTTGATACAGATAATCTCATGTATAATTGCCTATTGAGGGTATACACTTTAGTACACCACGGTATTTTCTGTTAATAGATACGTCATTACAATGACACTAATATCGTTATTCTGTTACCAGGACAACTGTTCCTGTTGTATATAGAGTCTGTGATTTAGATATCCACATACACATGACCTCCACCGGAATTAGAAAGGTCAACTGTTGCGCAACGACGTAGTGTCTACTGCACCCTGGGGGGCGGGGCAGTAGACACAAAAACCCAAGACCCACCATTTCCTTACCTTTTAATTTCTGTTTCCTTATTTATGTTTTTCTTAGAATATCTGATGCCATCACCATTTAAGCACTTGCAAGTTATAATATTTTGAATCACTGCTTGCCAGTAATGTCAAAATGCTGCTAGGGTGATAGTTTCTCTGCAGTAGTCTTGTGTAGGCGATTTCTGAGATTTTAGTCTTGTATTTTATATTTCTAGGATTTTATTTTATTTTTTTTAAAGGAAAACTTCAGCGCACAGAAACCGTGCATTATGCGCTATCCAAGCCCCAAATAATTACCATTTTGTTATTTCAGTTTAGGAAAGTAAAGTATTTATTAGGCCTACCTATGCCAATAATAGCGATTGGTGTTGATTGTCGTCCGGTCATCTCTGGTTTTGTAGGGTCTTGATTAATGTAGAATCTGAAACCTAAAATTATTATATACTAAGTAAACAATGTTAAAATTCGAGGAGCTAATAGTTATTATTAAACACATAGACCTCAGCTATATTTGCGTAATCTCTTAAACAATCTTGTGTTAGCATTTTTATATTTAGTCAATGAAATCTCAAACAAATTCCTAATTCTGATTGGATGTTTATTGTCTCAATCTAATATATACAATCACAATCAAGAATTTGTTTCGTATCCGACCAGTGTGTCGAAACACAGATTTCCTAGTTTACTTCGCCAAATGTCATTTTACTGTCCAATAATTATGAAAACCCGGCCGAAACCCAGTTTGAGGAATTTTGACAGTTGAATGCTCTATTCATCTTAGAGGATAGAAGTACAAGAGATGCTGCCTACTGTGATTTGGTCAGCGACAGAGGGTCAGTGCATCTGTCCGAAGGGCCTTTGATCCGAAGGTCCGTTGGTCCGAAGGTCCATTGGTCCGAAGTAATTACTTCAAATATAGACAAAACTATATTTGAAGAAAACACATGTTCGGGACCACCATGTAGGTCTATATTGGCTAACAATATACAATTATTGCTAGCATGACTTGTCAGCTCAGTTTATGCAAATTGGGGGAACCAGATTTCTTGGGGAAATTTTCCCCTCCCCTGTGCCTCTTGTAGTGCCGCCACTGCACATTAAATGCAAATAAAAGAAGCACTAGACATGATTCGTATCATAGTACATTGAGTTTTAATTCATAATACTACTGGTAATAGTTCAACTGAAATTCCCACTGGGAACATCTCTCTATCCACGATCGAGGGAGGAATTTTACTGAAGTGAGTTAGCCAGATTCTCGTAAATTTCGCAAAATAAAGGAAATATATATTTTTTTTAAATGGTCAGGCAGCGAAAATGGATGCGGGAGGTGACAAGAAACTATTTTTTTTTTTTTGACTTGGCCTTGTAGTTGTTAGGGAAAATATTTGGGAATATTGTTTTAGAAAAGTGATCTTTCTTAATTTACTGTCGTATAACCTGCATTCCTGAAAAAGGTCACTAATAAATTCCAAAATAGGCCTATTATTATTCTGCTTTTTGAAACATCCTGAAATTTAACTGCAACAATTTGTCGATCGCTATCCAGTAGCATCTTAACTTAAATACAGTATTGTTCTTAACGATTAAGAGTGGCAGATCTACGATTTAACTATGGGGGTGGGGTGGGGGTGGATAATGCGAGATGCGAAGGCACCGAGTTGGTGTCTGGTGTAGGCCTACCATAGAAAATAAACTTAAAAACTTTTTCTTTCATGTATAGGCCTATTACTATTAAACTTGAAAGCTGTGAGTTCACATCCACCTCAGCACCACCATGATTAGGGCTGAGGTGAGAAAATTTGAGGAAATAATACCTCTAGGCCCAGAAATAACACTTTTTACTAGCCATTTTCGGCAACCATAAAGATGTAATTACTACGTGATGATGCATCATAGAGAGTAAAACTTTAAAACATTGTCTTTAATACTGACTTTAGGCCTACCTACTTCAAAGCAGTGAGTAAACCTTAGTTGGTGCAAATTTGGGAAAATAGTACCTCTAGATTGCTGGAAATGACACTCTTATATTATTATAATTCATCTTCATCGATATAATTATTAACTGTGATGTTCCATAAAAGATAAAACTGAATTGTCTTTACTTTACCTATTTCATGTGCCGAAAACCAATCTTATTATTGCTATTATTAACTATTATTTTTATCACACGCTTTTTCAAAGGCACACGCACTCGACGAGTCGTGTACTATACGTAATTTAGATGATTGTGGCCAGAGATACAGGTTGTACAGCGCTATTTCGTTCCGTTAAAACCTGGGTCATTCATGCAGTTAATTTCAACAATTTTCAAGCATCTTCTTGACTTACAAACTTACATGGCGGATAAAAAATAAGGTGACCACCCCCTCCCCACCCTAAAAGTATATGGTGAATTGTCCCTCCCTCGTGATGTGCGCCCATGGGTTTTTTGGGGAGGGGCGTCCCCTTCCATTTGATTTTTTTTTTTAATTATAGGTAGACGGCTAGACGCGCTTAGATGACATCTGAAAAGAAGTGTAAAAGTCTAAAATAGAAAGTGTACGTTTTAGTACCAGGGTAGCCTACTACAAGCATAGAGAAAATAGAAGTTCTATTTTCTCTATGCTACAAGTAACATGTATATATGAGAAGCACACACACAAGACGAGTAACCATTTTTTTTTCAGCCACCGAAGGGGGGTGGCTGCCACCCTATTCATCCCCCTAGATCCGCCACTGGATTAAAACGTTGAAGACTGGCTCTCTTTACCGTGAATCCGTTTTACTGTTGTTCAACTACAAACTACGAAGGGTCGCGTTACGTACCTTGTTAGTATAGGTTCGATACGCGAAGCAGAACGATTAGGTAGGGCAACGAACTCGGGAGGCGTCCTCGTCTTTCCTGAGAGTACGACCGACTACGGAATGGGCATGATGTACAGTAGTCAACCAAGATCGCAATAGGAGTTTTCGATTTGCACGTCCACTATGTCGACTGATAACCTATGACGTAGTTTTGATGACTTGCGCATGCGTCAAGTCGACTAACACGACGACTGCCAAATTTGAGAACGTGTTCAGCAGCGTTTTGGCGTTCGCTCTCTGACTGAGATAACAAGTAGACGTATGACATCATATCACTGCAAACTTTTGATTCATGATGGAGGACGATGTCGCGGTGCTTCTTAATTTGGCAAAATTATCTTCTACTGGGGATGTAAGTAAATAGCATTTCTGTTAAGTTATGTCCTATTTACAAACTATAGAATTATCCATCATTGTGGATCGAATGAAGTGGATAATTAGGTAATTAATTAATCAGCCTATTAGCTAGGCCAGGGGAGCCTAAGCCTAGGCGAGGCCGCCAGCCTTCAGTCAGGCCGGGCGTATCCAGGAAAAAGAAAATCATTTTTCAGTGATTCTGTTAAAAAAAAAAAATAAAAAAAAATCCTATTATTGAACATAGAAGGAGAGGTGCACCCTCAACAGGGAGATGTTTTTACAACTCCCTGCCTGAATACCCCACCCATGGATATACCATTAAGGGATTCGCGAAGCCGAAGAAGATTTGCCATGTTGAGCTGCGTATTAGACTAAAATACCTGAGTGTTGAGTAAGATACCACGGCCAGCGTATTCGAATAGCGCGCGCGAACACGGGGAAACCCCAGATCACAAGGTTAAAGTTCACTGACGTGTCAACATGGACGTTCACTTAAATCGAAACGTTCAGATAACCAGTGGACAAGTACCAGTCGACTGCTCGGATTTTCCACTCACGCGGACGTGAAAGCCGTCCACGTCCACTCAAATCGAAAAGTCCTTAAAGTGGTACGGTCCTACCAACACTACTCTAGAAAAAGCCAACAAAGGCATTTGTGCTGAATCATGAGCATACGTTGAAAAGGTCAGGTCAAGACGAGAAAGCGCTGCAAAGACCTTACCATAATAATCCCTAAAAACTTGTTTGTTTGTCCTTCAGTGCTGAAAATTGTATAGGAAGGGCGGGCGCAAAAAAAGGTTTTTTTTATTTTTTTTTTCTTCTGCCACCAAAATTAACATAATAAATTGCACTGCTTGTTATTAAGCCTGTCTCATTGTTGTTTGTCAAAGGGTATTCATCAGACTGAATAAAAATAACCCATAATCGATATTTTGCAATAGATTCGGGCATAGAATGGCGATACCTTACACCAAATTTAGACAATTAGAAAAATAAAGATCACTTTAAAAAATTTGTTAACAAAAAATCGAAAAAAAAAAAAATTCCTTAAAACGCTCCGCTATTTTTCCGTGAGATAGGGGCGGGCGCTGGAGGGCAAACAACTATTATATTTTAGGCCTAAGCAATAATACCGGTATTTCATTGGGTAACAACTACGCTGGAAGGTCATGTAATGAACTGCGATTGTCTCTCCTTTTTAGAGATCTGAAAGAAGGTCGCAGATATTGTGGTTATTAAGGGGCTTAGTGAAGCTATTAACAACACTGCAGAAATCTTACTAGCGAGTTTTTAAAAACATTCTGCTACTATCTGACTTGAATGGAAAAGGCTTATCGTTGCAGCAGCGGACGTGGTTGGCTTAAAACGTTGTGCTGCGCCAAGCAGATCTGCTATACACGTTGCAGTTCTCAAATTGTCTTTTGAAAGATGTTCTACGGGTGGGTATCACCGTTTTCAGAAAGATCATTTCTACATATGGCCACTCGATTACAAAATGTAAATTTGTATTCTATGGATTTTGATACTGTGGCCTCCAGGCAATGTTGTGGACTGTTCCAGCGTATTATTTTCGTTGGTTGCACGGTCTCGTGTTGGATGTGTGGGGGGGGGGGGTTCTTTTTAAATAATTAATTTTATTTATTTACATTTGAATATTTATATATTATATGCTACCATTTGTGTTCCGCAAGTCAACCTTCAATGATTGTACATCGTGCTTTCATTGTGTTTTTTTAAACATTTTATTTTACTTGGAACACACATGCAAATCCACATTTCACTATATATATACTGTCTCTTATACACATCTAGATGTGTATAAGAGACAGATTATCTTCTACTGGGGATGTAAGTAAATAGCAT